TGACATTTTTTTGAAGTTGTAATTTATTATTGTAGAGCTAGTCCGTCTGTCCGTCTGTTTCTACGCAAACTAGTCTGTCAGTTTTAAAGCTATCGGGATGAAACTTTCCCAAAAGTCTTCTTTCTATTGCAGGTAGTAAGCAAGTAAATCTTAATTTAAGGTTTTTGTAAGATAATAGGAATGATCTGCAAGGGTGTATAAGCTTCGGCTGGTCAAAGCTCTATTGTTTTATAAAAAATGTGTTCGGTTTGTAAAACAAGTTCTCATACGTTCAATTGTAGAGCAATAATTATTCAGTACTATCTCTTAAATATATATAACTAAATATATAAAATAATTAAACACGTTAATTATTCTAATTTCATAAAAATAATAGCAATTTTTAAGAGAGGAAAAAATAAATTATATAGTTTTTTTATGTGCAACCTCTTAATTGCACCGAAGGCTTTCAGGCCGGGTCTCATTACCATCACCAGATGTAGATGTAGTGCAAAAAATAATTCCCCCAAAATGCACCGAGTGTTAACTACGTCATTCCGTCATTCTGGCATTCCGGCATTTTGGCATTCTGGCATTTCGAGCATTCTGGCACTCCTGGCTGCCTGAAGACGCCGCTTGGTGCAAAGGAACTTTCAGCTCATTAACTTAAAAACTTGCGGGCTCTCGAGCTGGATCTTAGGATTTGCCTGAATGCAGAACATGCATGACAAAGCCGGCCCGAGATGAACCGAGCACTCCAAAAAAAAAACGTACCGCAGCATTTTTAATTTACTACAGAAATTACAAGCGAACTGCGAGAGCTGCTGCGTGAGAAAAAGTATTTTTCTTAAAAGCCGAAGGAGAAAAACATCGTTTGAGGGGGGAGGGAGGTGAGGGGAGAGATGAAAATATAAATAAATAAAGCGAGGTCGAATGCAGCAGCAGCACTCTCGTTCGTCCTGTTCGCAAACAGTTCGCCCAGCCCAGTCAGTCAAGTCACTTTGTCATTCCGAGTGGAGCGGCAGCATCAACAGCATCCTGCATCCCATATCCTGCAGCTTGAATTCTGAATCCAGGAGCCTGCCTCCGCATCCACACTCACATTTGCATGACGTCAGGAGTCGAAGGAGGCGGACTGCAGGATGTACTACTGGTACTGGTACTGGAACTGGTGGATCTGCACTTTTTGCCGCCGCCAGAGTTCTTCATTCCCATTTTTTTGCTGCTCGCCGGCGACGGGGCGACGGAGCTCTTGTTGGTTTTATGCTGGCAGCGTGTATATTTAATTAAAACAGGATTAATCTAGCAGAAACAATACTTCACTAAATGCAGCAGCAGGAGCAGAAGCTGCACTGCCTGTGGTCCACGGACTCCAGCCTTAGCTCCATTTCCAGTTTCGGCTTCAGCTCCAGCCTGCGGCTTGGCTAACAGACTCGTTGGCTTGCCTGGCAGCCGGATTGGGGGAAAACTGTAGGAAAGCCGTCGGAACCGGAGGCGGGTTATGGCAGAGGAGGGGGAGCAGGGGATGCAGGTAGTTGTGAGAATGGGGAGGGGGAGGTGGAGGGGCTGACCTGGCTGCCAGATTCGTCCGAGCTTAACACAAACAATGGCGTTAACTGCTCATGCTCAGCCTCGCTCACTCACACTCACACTGGGGGAAAAACAGGAGGAGCCCCAAAAACGAGGATCATATTTAATATTTAAGGAATGCTTCCTGTTTGCATTGCACTTCTTAGAGTGGCTAGCATGTATATTATTTAATATTCGAACTTCAAAAGAATACGAAACAGAATAAACCAAGGGACAAACGTTTTATTAACTGTGCACCGCAAGTTATGAAATTGACTAAATAATGTTTTGATAATTAAATTAATGTTCTTAAAAAAATATTATAAAATTTGTATGCCTCTTTAGAATATGATAATATAAAATATCTTAAAAATACAACACGAAGTAAAACCGTTTAAAAACTGTGATAACCATACCTTACAATCGAATTGGCATGTTTTTTGTGTTTTAAAAAATATGTTTATATTAAAATTATATTTTTCTATCGCTTAATGTAATTTACAAAGCCAAATTGCTGATAGTACATTTAATAAAATTGGTGGGATACAAAAAATAGAATTTATTTTTCTCGGTGCACACACACACACATTCGCTACACACTCACTCGTCAGCTTTAATGCAGTGGGACCCCAAAAAGTATGCTACGCCTTTTGATACGTTATGCAGATCCTTGGCAGAGCGCCGCCGACAGCTTAGCAGCGCGCTTTCAATCATTCAACTTCAGCCTTGGCTTCTGCTCCTCCTGCTGAAACTGTTCCTCCTCCAACTGCTCCTCCGACTTGGGGCTGCGTTGCCAATCAAGGAAATTGCGTGCTCACATGTTAAACGGGTCGGATGAGGGGTGCCAAAACAGGACAAATGGGTAGGAAAGAATAACAGCAACAGCAAACCAAACCAAACAGTAAAGTGGGCGAAACGCTTTTCGGCCATTTACTATCGACTTTAATTAATATTTACCTCCCGAACTGGAGCTGCATAGCTTTCAGCAGCCACTATTAGCCGGGGCAAACAGTTTTAACAGCTTTTTCGTTTGCCTTTACGGATGTTTTGACTTTTAGTCCATCGGGCCACATCAAAAACTTGAAGCGCAAGTCAAACGGAGGGCAAATAAACAAAATATATGCCAAAGCGGTAGCAAAATTTCATCGCTCGCCAAATATTATTTCATTTTTAATATTTTGACCAACGCAAAGAAAAGAAAACAACTTGCGCCGAGCAGAGGAGGAGATTGAAATCCAAGAGCCGAAAACTAAGAACCAAGAGCCAGAACAAGAGAACCTGAACCTAGCAAAAATCCACACCAGGAAGTGCTATACACAGGCAATGCCAACAGCAACAGCAATGGCAACAAGAACAACACGAACAACAGGAACAACAAATACAACAACGGCAACATGAGTCGAAATTGTAGTTGTACAAACACGTCAGCTTTTAAATTACTTGGCCTAAAGGTAAATTGAGCGGAAGTTAAAATGTTGGAAAAACAGCACGAAAAAAGCAAAACCAAAAACACGGTGAGCTGGTCGGTGGGTGGTTCAATGGGTGGCATGGCTTAATGGGTGGTTCAATGGGTGGGCGGTGTAACGGAATACAGTGCCAGTTAAGTGGGGGGTGGGGAAAGAGGGGTGGAGCGGCGGTGTCCATAACAACAGCAACAAGACCAACGGAGTTCGTGGAGAGAAAAGGCGGCACACGGCAAATTTGCCGGGAGTAAACGCAAGAATAATAACAACCGAAAGCAAGTTTTTCGGCTCAAGTTGTTGTTTTTTCTGTTCTGCTCTGTTCTGTTCTGCTATGAAATTCAGTGGCATACAGAACGTAATTTCAACTAAACGAACCGACAAACAAAAACAAACAAACAAACGGACGAACAGCAACGAAATATTATTTTAGCTGGCTTGCATCCTTCCTGCAGCCTTGCGGCCACCAGGAGATTCCTGCTCCTCCATACACACCTATACTAGGATGGTATACCCACCTACCTTCTCTACATTCATATGCCGGCAGGGATAAGTTGGCGAAATTGTGCAATAATAAAATATTTGCAATGTACTCGAAGTGCGGCGGCGGCTGCAGTGGCAAAACGCCACCAACAGCGACAGCGGGCTGGCAACTGCATTTTCATAAAGTGCAGCTCATAATAAAGCCGCGGGTGGATGTGTTGGTGGTTCCTACGCCCCTCTTAAACCCCGCGGGGTCCAAATAAAAGGCACAAATAAATATGAGCAGCAGCATCCACAGCAGCAGCAGCAGCAACAAGCCGAACCAAAACAAACAACAATGGCAAGAACCGTCGACTGTCGAGCAGGAAGGCCAAAACAAAAAAAGCCAAAAAAACATAAACAAAAACAAAAAAACAAAACAATACAAAAGGCGATGCAAAAAATATAATAAAGCCCGCGAAAATATTTGCAGCGGGCATTGAGAAATGTTGCGCAATAAAAATTGCATTTTTATGCTGATGTTTGAATTTCCCATGCAAATGAAAAACGAACAGTGCCAACCGAAAAATAACACTCGCGATTCGTGAGTTTGGCCAACGGAAGGCTCGACCATTGGGTTACCCGATATCCGACTCGGACTATCAACACTATCTAATTCGTTGGATATCAAAAGCTGGCAGGGGAATTGATAAAACACTATCAATATGCTTATCGCTATGTTTTCATCGCAATCATAACGTCAAAGGTATCGCATTTTTAGAGTTGTCAGATGTGTCAGTCAGGATGTGGCTATCGCGAATGGAAATAATTATGCAATTTTGACAGAAAAAATAAAATAAATAATATGACTAGTAAATCTAAAACATATTCGGAATACATTTTGATTTGTATTATATTATGTTTCATTTTTAAAATAAAGGTCGTCTGACCTAAGCTAACCCAATTCTCTTTGCAAAAAAACCATAATCATAACCAACCATATTTAGTCACATAAATTTTACAATTTTTATACAAAGGCTAACCTTTTTTTAGGAAGTTTTAATATAAATCAGAAATATAAACAAATATTTAAAGATTTAACATTGAAAAATAAGCGATTATTTAATTTACTTCTAGTTTTAAACCATAAAAGCGATATTTGTTATTGGGCTTTATTTTTTATGGAAAAAATATCAAATACTTGATCCATTTGAAATTTTAACTTTAACGTGCGGCTATAAAAGTGAATGCCACCATGCTCAATTGCAGTTTTGCGGCCAAATGGAGTGGATTTAATATGCCTTTGATACCCTCTGTCTGTCTGTCTTGTTGCATAGACAACAAAATGGTCTGGAAATAAAAAGGCGAACTTCAACTGGGCTAAAACTAGGAATCTCGGGGCAGGAAGTGGCGCTACCGCTGCCGTTGCCGCGCTTTTCCCTGCTCCTCGGGCTTCTAGGATTTTCCCGCTTTTCCCCGGCTTTTCCCTCGCTTTCCGCTCTCCACTCTCCGGCTTTCCCCCCACTTTCCCTACACCGGCTTAGCTGAGACTTTGCGCCCACGCTCCACGTGTTTATGACTTTGAATTGCAACTTCATCCGCCGTGTGGGCCGCTGTAGTCCTTAGTCCTTAGGTCCTGCCGCCTGTTGTTGCTGCTATTCCTGTTTCTGTTTTTTGTTGTTGCTATTACCGTGTGCCGTTCGCTGTCGGTTGCAATGATGGCGGCGCATAGCGCGCATTGTGACGCGAAATGGCGTCGAGTTGAATAATCCAACATGGCGTTTTGTGCCGCCGCCGTCGCCGCCGCCGAGAGCGCTACACTATGGTAGTATTTGTGTTTCAGCTCTGTGTTTGTGTGCGTTGTGTTGTCTGTTTCCGGCAGCCGGATAAAAAACTTGGCGTTAAAGTGTTAATATTTTGAGTTTTGAGAGCGGCACTGGCAGGACATGCAAATGCTGTACAACAACGTCTGAGAATATATATACGTTCAGAGGGCAGGGGGTAGTGGGTGGATGAGGGGTCACTGGGGTCGCACCATAGAGCTGTTTCAGCTGTTTCCCCTCGACGCTGACACTTGTTCAATTCAAATAGCACGCCAGAGCCCCGACATTGATGTCCTGGCACGGCATTCCGCCGCTTTTCCGCTTTTCGGGCCTAGCTCCGTCCGGAATCGGTTCGCTTTTGCTATGGAATCGGGTACGAAATCGACTATATGGAATGGAATGGCGTGCCCGGCGAGCCGCATTTATGTTATCTTTAATTTTTCACAACCAAATTGGCCGTGGGAGTGCAGTTCGAATTGCCAGACAACAAGCATATTTATTTATATTGCCACGCCGCTCGACCCCAATGCGAACTGTCATGAAGTTACTGGCAAGATGAAGCACTTCAGTTGCCATGAAATGGGAGAAATGGCGCTGGCAAATTATCAAGTTGAAACATTCAGGGAGTTGCAGAAACACGCTGTCAATTTAATGAGATTTTCTAAAATGAGAGTGTTGGCCATTTAGAAGAAACGATAAGATTATTTCACGGAAAGTTCGTATATTAAGACTCACGACTTGTGGGAAAAACAAGAAAAATTGGAGACCCAACTAAAAGCCCAATTGTTTTGGCCAAGGTATCAATCGATATCAGTTTCAAAACGCTTTAAAAAATGTATTTCTTTTGCAATTTTTTTAAATTTAATAAGTTACCTTACAATTTTTTTGCAAAAAATGCCAAAAAAATAAATATTTTTAGATTTGAATGCCAATCGATCGGGAAAGAGCTTAACGAGGAATGACATTTGAACCATTATTTCGAGCAAAAAAGCCTAAAAAACGATGTACACTTTTTCTAAAAATATAGTTTTTTGGACGGTTTTTTAGCTGTAACTTGTTTAAAAAGTATATTAAAACTATAAACGCAGTGCAGTACAGCTAATAAGCCAATGTATCGATTTCGACTGATTTCAAAAAATAATATTTTTACAGATTTTCACATTTTTTATAAGGGGTTAACGATTTTTTGCAAAAAAATTACCAAAGTTAAAAATGTGCAGATTTGAATGCCAATCGATTGGGAATTCAATTGCGAGCTAAACGAGGTATTACATTATTTATTTAGACATTTTTTTTTAAATTTTTTCGGACCTAGAACTTGTTTTTTTTGGAACAAATCCATTTAGGTTATCCAAAAACAGAAATGGAAAGAAATTTCAAAGTATGGAAAAAGACTGAGATTAAAGAAAAGACTATTCATTAATGTCTGTTCAAATATGTTAGCAAATATTTGACTTCAAAGAAACTCTACAATCGTGTTGGCCAATATTGAAACTTCATGCTGCCGAAATACCACCGTTGTTGGTAAATTTAACTTATGCCAATCAGATGCCCAAAATCAATGCCACATTAGTGTTGGCTTGGCTGTGAACCAATGTTTGGCCATCGCCCATTTGATGGGCACCCAGGGCTCACGGAAGAGCGGTCACAATTGATGTCTTGGCCAATTAATCAGGCGGGCAATGCATTTCGTGGTCAGTTTGCCCCGAGTACCGCCAATTAGACCGCTGCGGTAAGTGTTCGCTTAGCTGGAAAGTGCCGGCCAAATGGAAATGTTCATACCATGAATACGGAATGACAAACAAGGCGGCAGCATCGTCATCATCATCATTCATCACCATCACCAGCCCAATTAAATAGTGCCTTTTCTTTGTCGGTTTATCGCTGATTGGCCGGTGTAAATTTCAGTTTTACTTAAAAATTAATTATCAGCAACCTGGGATCGGCTTGTTGATTTTGCCAGACGGACAAGCGGACGGTCGGACAGCGGCGGTCATGTCACATTAAGCATACGCACTGTGTGCGCAGCGCATAACTGCCGGCAAGCCAAGCAATCAAGCGAACTGCCACTAAAGCCCCGCATCCTCCACAAAATCCCTCCCAGGCAGCCGACAAACCAATTCCAGAGTCCGGCAAACAACTTGCCAGACTGAACAGCAACTGCAGACTGCGAAAAAAAGCAGCTCGCGAATTGTCAGGCTGGCGTTTAAAACCAGTTCGCATCAATTTAAGCGGACATATGCTTAACTTTACTTGCGGTGATTTTTCAACTTGGCCCGCAGAGTTGCAGTTGCAGGTAGTTACCTGTTTTCCTGAATATTTCCCCATTTCTCCCCCCTTTTCCTACCCAACAAGGTTTTTTCTCCCATGGACTGGAGTGCTTTGCACATTGACAGCGTTAATTAACTTTTAATTTAATTTCGCGTAAATGAGTTTTTACTGTCAGCGCGCGTTGCTTTATTTAAGCTGACAAAAAACGCAATTTGCAATGCAAGAGTTTTTCGAGTTTCGCGTTTCGCGTTTCGAGGGGGACAAGCGATCGAGCGAGCATGCTTTTAAGCGCGGTTTTCAAATGTGGCTGCGATGTCGTCAGCCAGTGTCAATTTATGCCGCCAAAGTGAAAATCCAAACTGAAAGATTTATGCAGGCGACACACATACACGGAGGCACACATATATATTATTTATATTTTTTCGCTGGCAAATGTGATTTATACGAAAAATCTCAGCAACAACCAACACACGGTGTGTGTGTGTGCGTGTGAAATATTTTGCAGCGTTTGAGCTTTTTAAATTCAATTTCCAGTCGGAGTGAGAGTTTCACTCGCAGAGTCGCAGAATAGCAGTTGCAGACTCGGATTCGGATTCAGTTGCAGATGCCGATGGCAATGTCGATGTCGATGTGATGTCGAGGCCAGCCGTTGCATAAATAAGCGCTTTAGACCACTGTGCAAAAGCGGGAGGGGGAAAAGGGTGGTAGAACTGAAGAGCAGTGCAGTTTGGGCCGCACAGAAGGTGTGTGTTTTATTAATTGCCAGCGCCAATGCCGCAGTCGCCGCAGCAGCCGCGGCCAAGAGAAATATGCGAGCAATGCACGCATGCGGTTCCCTCAGCTTTTTCCCCTCCTGGATTTTTCCTCGCTTTTTTACCCAACCATTTCGAGTGGCCAGTCGACAGTCGCCAGTCGTTATATCGTTAATGAAAACTGATTCTAGTGTCATTAACGTGCGAGCTCTCTTCAGACCAATTCGAGTGCAACGCGAGCAGTATCTCTCAGTGTCCTTGGGGCACCGCCGCCACCTCGACAGCAGGACGCCAGGACACCCCGACACCAGCCCCCTCCTCCTCCTCCTCCTCCTTCTCACCATTGCCAGCGGGCATGACGAGTCATTTAAACCGATGCGTCGCCAACTGAGTGAGCAACTGATTGCGTCCTGCCACTCCACAGTCTGCAGTCCACAGTCCACTGTCCTTTTCCGATCCCCATTCCCATCTCCATCTCCCAACCCCAACCCCCCTCCGCATTGTCCTCCTCGTTACTGAACCCGCTGACGACTTAATGACAGTCATACAAAATACGACAACGGTGCGAAAATTGCAAGGCTTGCCATCAACGCTGCAACGCTGCTCCCGATGATTACCTTTTAATGCAAATATAAAAAATGAAAGAACAATATAAAGCGATTGGAAGTCAAGGAGTCGAGACAAAAATGCTCTCGATGAAACCGGTGGAAATTAGTAAGCCTTTTAGGTTCCCTTCTGTTTGTCTTAAAGGTGTAATGGAGTTTATACAAGCAGGATGGAACTTGGGGTATTTAATTATATTCCAATTATATTAAAGACTGTATGAAAAACTTTAAAAGAGTAATTTAAATATTATTTAAAACTTTATGGGAAACTGTTGAATTAAAAACAACTTATTGTCTTTAAGTTATTTTTATTTAATATTTTATTTTAATTAATTATAATTAATTATATTATTTAAAACTTTATGGGAAACTGTTGAATTAAAAAAAATGTATTGTCTTTAAGTTATTTTTATTTTATATTTTATTTTATTTAATTATAATTTTTTTCCATTATTGTTAAATTGTAAAAATGTAGAAATGGTGTATGCTAAAATTACTATAAAAACCGTAACTCACTTCAAATATTTTTAAAAAATTAAAAAAATTCAATTGAAAATCTGTGACATTAAAAATTTAAAAAAAATATTGAGATACTACCTTTGAAGATGATAACCTTACCGTAATTAGAAATGTTTCTATAGCTTATACGTTACCGACATGAAAGCCTGCCCCAGAACATGCCGATCCAATCGAAGCACTAGTACTTCGAGCATGAATGATTCAATAATTGTTTTGACTCGTCCTGTTCGCCTTGATTGACAAGTGCAAGCCGCCTGCTTGAGTCGGACACGCCCCTCGATGGGCAGGGTATAATCAAACGCGATGGCAGGAGCAAAAACAAAGGCAGCCGTCCGACAAGCTGACAAAAAAAAAAAAAAAAGAATCAAGGAAAAAATAAAACAAGCGAAACAGAGCGGCGGCCCGAAGGGGAATCGCGGCATCGGGGATCTGGACAGAGCTTCACTGCCATGGCATGGCATGTGTAAATGACGCTTAAAATTGAAAAATTAAATGAGAAATTATTATGTGTGGCAGCAGAGGAAGGGAGGAGCAAGCGAGAGGATTCGGGGTATCCTGCCCGGTGGGACATGTGCGTTAATGTGCGAGTGTGAGACGGCGCAGTGTCATTAAATTAATTTGTCAAATATGTATAAAATAATAAATTACCTTTTTGTCAGTTACTCGTTTATTAATTTGTACATGGCAACAACTTTTCGGCTCCGTGCGAAAAAAGGAGCAAAGGGGATAAAAAACAGGACGCGGCAGTGTCCAGAAGTCAACTAGCATAAAAAAATATGATGTGTAAAAAGTAAACACACACGCGGCGAAAAAAAACTTTGCGGAAAGTGGGAGAAAGTGGCGGTGAGTGGAGTGCGATGATGAAGGTGGAAAAATTGGACAAATTGCCTGGCTGCTCATCGTGTATCGTTTAATAGAAACGGCCGAAACGACCCACCGATATATATATACACGTCACATGTTTTCGGGGCATTTTTATTTCACAGCTCTCTGGCCGAAAGTGGAATGATTTATGATTTATTCAATGCAGCGGCCAAAACGATGCAAACGAAGCGGCCTGTGTGACTTTCTGTGTCTCTCGGTGTCTGTCTGTTAAATTATTTTTTAATGTGTCTATTAAAAAATACAACAGCTGCATCAACAACTGCTGCAACAACTAGATCAAAAGTAGGACTATGCGGTAGGTGTTTGGTGGGCTTCTGGGACGAACGAATGGATCGAATCGGGGATTTGGCGCCGGCATTAACATGGAACCAATATAAATGGCATGCCAAATTGTAGTGGATGAACAAATTTGCCGCTTCATATGCGAGAGCGGCAATAAAAACTTGTAGAGCCAACGCCAAATGCGATTTGGTGGGGCATTTGTTTTAAATTACCCTGGCGTGTAAGTGATGAACTGGTGTTGGTCCGGCCGGTAGTGCATATAGCACAGCAAATTGAGCAGTCGGCATAAAACAACAAAATAGCAAGCCAACTGAGCCGTTTTGCGGCCCCACGAAAAAAAAAAGAAATTGGAGCATTGAACTCGCCCTCGCCAAGGGACTTCCCCAAAAAAAAAAAAGAAAATACATGATGAGCCATAAAACTATTGCAGTTATTTGGAGTAGATTGCACGGGCGGCGATACAGAGATACTTATGGGATAAGGTGGCCCCCAAACGGAATAAATATTTTTGTAAGCGGCCAAAAAGGCGATTGCAATTCAGGCCAAAGCTCCGCTAATGCCAACTTATCCAGTTCCTATCATAAATACGAGTTTGTGAGATGGCAATTTTCCGGCTTCGGAACTTACACTCATAAAAATTAATTTCTAAATTTTGGAAATCTCGCCATTGAATCGGCCTACCTTTGAAAATAGAAAAAAAATTTCTTGTTATTAGAAAATTTTCCTTTGAATACAGAAAACCTTTCTTGATGGAAAAAATTCAAGAAAGAATTTTTCTTAAAAATAGAAAAATGAAAATCTCATATGTTTGTTTTGCCATCGCAGCCAAAACATTTTTGTACGTATTTAAGGACAAAATCACTTTTGAATATATGAATGAAATGACCCTAGAATATAGGAAAGTAGCCATTGACTTCCTTCGGCTGCCGAATGTTAACGACAAGAAAAACCATGGTACAACTATACAAGGTAGTCTCGTCGGCAAAATGTAGTCCGTTAACGATACTGACAGTCGTGCGAGTAAAAGGGACAGCGATATCGCTCAAGCACGTTAACGGACTAAAAGCCGAACGGTTAGGCAGCCGACGAGACTACCTTCTATAATTGTACCATGAGAAAAACGAAGTGGGACGAAGGGCCTACCCGGCTACCGACTTCTCTGATCCCCCGAGCGTCAGTTGTGAAAAAAATTCGTGAGTGATGGACGTGATTTTCAAGCGGATAAGAGCTGAAGCCTTTTTCCGAATATTCAAAGGTATGTAAATATGTATATAATTTTTTGTATAGCGGGCGTACAATTGTATGTATGTAATTAAAGGATACATTTCAAATCTCTTTACCAAGCGTATACCAATTTAGGTGAATTGTTTTTTAGCTAAGAGCTACGTACATACATACATTTGTACATAAATTTGTGGGTGTACAGTTCTATAATAATTTTATCTTATTACTCGCATTTTATTTATTTTTCAGAGTGAAAATACCTGCAGTTGCATCAGCCAAATAATTTGTTTGTCGAAGCTGTAATTTTGTTTTAAAACCTTCTAAGGTAAGAAAAATATGTTGTATTTGTTTGACATACTTATGTATGCATGTAAATATCTATGCATGTACGCGGCTCACCCGATCTGACACCCGATTTTCAACCCTTTCATATTCTGCTCCTCTCTCTCGCTCGCTTGACCTACGCGTCGCGACGTTTCTCTCTTCACCTTCTTAAAACTGACACGATCTGCCCTGCTTACATTCGGTCTCCCTTCGCGCAAAGGACTGTATGTAAATATATATGTATGTATGTACGTGTCTCTCCCGTGCCTCTCTCTCTGTCTGAAATTCGATTTTCAACCCTTCATTTTCTACCTGTCTTGCTCCTCTCTCTCGGTCGTCTGTCCAACGTGTTTGTATTTTGGCTATTATTAACATTACATTATTTCAAAAAAGTTATTTATCTAAAAACAAATCATTGATATCCCAATAACTCTTTTTTTATAGATGAGGAAAGGCGAAGAAAATGGATCACCTTAGGTCATATGAAGTTCAACAGACCGGGTAATAATAATGTTTTCTTGAGTCAAAAATGTGTTATTTAAAAATGTTTAAATGTTAAGTGTTAAATGTTTTAAATGTAAATAAATATAATATGCAAAAGAAAAAACCAAGTTACATTTTATTTTTAGGGTTTCAGTGTTAATATAAAACTTCCTTTTAAGAAATATTATTTCTTAAATCAAGAAATAAAATTTCTTGAAAGGAAATTTAAACAAGAAAGAATTTTTCTTGTTTAAAAGGTGCCTTTCTAAAAAACCCTTTCTTGTTTTAAGAAATTTAATTTCTTGAAACAAGAAACAAACCACCTTTGAAACAAGAATAGCCTTTCTTGTTTTAAGAAATATTTTTTCTTGTTTTTATGGTGGCTTTCTAAAAAACCCTTTCTTGTTTTAAGAAATTTAATTTCTTAAAACAAGAAATATTTTTCTTGTTTTAATGGTGCCTTTCAAAAAAACCATTTCTTGAAACAAAGGTGAGGTCGCCTTTGGCAAAAATTCAAGAAAGAATTTTCTAGATTTTAAGGAAATTCTTCGATTTTTTTTTATGAGTGTAGGAGCTCGGAAAATAATATGGGAAACGTGGAAAAATATTTTTTATTTCCTCTAGGATTATATTTACTTGTAATAAAACTATATAACAATAAAACTCGATTTTATTTAGTTTATGAAAAGCGTCTTGGCACTCTATAGCGATCATCAGGCGACATATCTACTTGGTAGTAGTTGTACACAACAAAAGAGAAAATAAAATAAAGGACTGCAATATAGAAAAATAAAAATATACATTTTAAATATATTTGGAAATATAGAACTCACCTAAAGGAATTATCAACCAGTGAGTAAAGAAAATACCTATGCCACAGAAAACTAAGGATGAGCAGACCAAACATCGAAAGCCCTGCATAAAAAGAAGGGAGGTAATAATATTCTAAAATAAAAATTAACGGATCAAGTGAACCTTTAAGACACCAATTAATAGCATGAAACCAGATATAATAAATGTTGCTCCACAAATACATCCAATCACAAGCACTGAAAGTGGCAGCTTCTGCTGCTTTACGAACTCCATGATAAGAGCTAAGTTCGATTTTTTTGGATTTAATAATAATTTTGACAACAACAATTCCCATAACCCTTCTTAGAATTTGATGATTTCAATGTTTCACGATTTAACTTATTATCGAAACTTATTTAAAATTATCAAATTCCAGTCGGGCTTTCACAATTTTTTAATGTCTACTCACGAATAAAAGCGATTCCAACGACTATGTTGATACATGCCCAGAAAATGCAAGCCCTGTATTTAGTGCAAATATTCAATTTTTTTAAAATGTGAAACTTCTTGCACATTCTATTTAATAATCAAAATGTTGATACACAGATTTTGACACAAAAAGAAAATGTGTAATCAAGTAAAATTTAAAGGCAGTTAAGGTTTGCACTTAAGAAAAATATCACATCTACTGGAACACTAGCAACTGCTACATTGTTACCAAGTTACCATACTAAAAGGTGACCCCTTCTGAGACTTTGATACATTTTCCCACCTCAATATGGACATGGGTAAAAGTAAGCAAATAATGTCAATCAATTACAGCATTAAACTTTCCCCATTTAGTTAGCCGTTGAAGCGTGGAAAGTGAACACAGTGTCGCCGTCCAAACACCTGAACCCTTCCATTCCCATTTCCATTTCCACTTCGTCCACCTGTTAACTAATCAAATAACTGAAGCGACACGAAAATACCCAAATGTGGTCATGTCAATGGTTTTTGGCCGCCGGCGCTGACAGTGTCCAAATCCAATGCAAACAAAAGTGCAAATGAGTTCGAGAGTGCGACGCTAAAATGTTTGCCCAAGCCAAAATGTTAATGGTAATGACAGCTCCGAGAATTCGTTAACGAAGCACGGGCACGTATGGGTATCTGTTTCTGTAGTTCAGATCCCCGGATTCGAATTCGGGTGAGCCCTCTGTGTCTATTACAATTTCCATCAGTGTACATCAGTGTTCGTCAGTGCACCCAAAGGCCAACAAATGCCATTAAAAATTGCCACGTGAAATGTTTTCAAAAGCCATCGGAGTTCCTGGTATGCTAGCTCACATCCGAATCCTTCTTTTAGCCAACTAAATTAAAATATTTACGGGTAGATCTGCAGCATGTATCCCAATTATACGCGACCCAAAATATGATAGTTAGATGGCCAGACCAAAAACCAAAGCCAAACTAAAACCGCACCAAGAAGACAACCCGGCTAAATCCCATAATTAAGCTTGTATGCATGTCCTCGTCCTCGTTGTCGTCCTGGTCGTCCTGTTCGTCCTTTTTGCGTGCATGTGATGTATTAATTTAGAGAAAACCCCCGCCCACCCACTCAACCGCCGTGGCAAAAACAACTACCACATGGTCGACAATGGCAACCGGCAACCGGCAACGGCCACAATTACACCTACAGGAAGGCAGAGAGTACAGGACAATGGCAATGGACCCCGGGATTTTCGAGGGGCGGGATTTTTGGTTCCCTGGGATCCAGGATCTGGCGGTCTGAGGGTCTGGGTGGAGCAACAGCAAAACTATTTCACAGCTAAAAATGCTGTTATGCGTTTATATTAACACGGATGTGCCCGCACACACACACTGATACACCCCGACATCCTGACACCCACTATATAGTATAGTAAAGTCCTGGAGCACGAGGACACGTAGAAAGGTAGCCAGCATACATTAGCAGGCACGTAGGATGCAAACTAACTGTGCCATTGGACCAGAAATAGTATCAGCGATACGAATCATATGCGGCAGCGCCAAAAACGCAGACCTAGACCAGACCAGGTCCTTTCGCTCCTCCCCCTCCCCTTCGTTTAACCACCCACCCAGGATACACCTCATTTATCCCCCATATAGCCATCCGATCCGGCGATGCGACTTGGTCGCACACAGGCATGTGGCATCCACCATTTGCGGGGGCTGTCCAAATAGAAAATGAAAATCCAGATATGCGGATAGGGATATCAAATAGAAAGCCTGAAAATAGAAATAAAAATCATATGCCTTTCAGAAAATATTCCATAATTATAGATACATTCGCAGATTCATTCTATGCCGCATTACACAATACAGTATTTTCATTTGTTCCTAATAAACAAAAATTGAAATGCAATTCATTTCAGTGAATTTTTCCATAAATATAGATGCAAATATGCAGGCTCATGTGCTGCTGTTTTATACCATTGTTTGTTCAAGTCTTTGAAATTTAAGCAGCTTGTGGCATGATTCGTGTTATGTGTTATTAACATATTAAATAGTTGAATCCAATAAATGTGTGCTAATCGTTCTGTCCAATTTGTATTTATGTTTTACTTTTATTTTGAATTAAATATACATATTATTTGTGGTAAATAATATTTAAATTAACAAGCTCTAAAGCAATACTAATGCACAATTGATTTGCCTTTATTCCACTTTCAATTTATGTGTTACAAGATTGCATTTGCATTTTACAAATTATATCAAGAAAAATAATCGTTTTATCTTGTATTTAACAGAAACATTTGTGAACATTGATTATACATTATACACATTGTTTATACAAATGTGTTTAAGGACTAATATTTGTACACATAAAAAAAGCACGCTACGATCAAATCGATATGCGCAGGGTAAGTTTCTGGTATTTATACGTATATCGTTTGGTAAAATTGACATATTTAAAAAAGGTTTGTACTCAAATTTTATATTTCCCTACAAATATTTCATTATCTAATTATCCAGCTTTTCTAAGACATAGAAGATTTAAATTATTAATCCGTTCCTAAAACTGGTGAAATTCCCCTCGCAATGTGCAAGTTTCGTCACACGCTAAACAGTTGGCAAGTATTATAAGGTTTTGGGTGGGGTGGCGATTCGGGGTTTTGGGGACGAACTCTGTAGAGAGGGTTCGGTTGAAGCCGTAGGTGGAGATGTATCCTTTGTGCCAGCATGGAGCGGGTTGGCAAAAGTTAGTTACGAGTGCGAACAATGATATTACGTAAAATATTTTGAAACTGCTGCCGTTGTCGACCTGCTCTCTCAGCTTCGCTGTTTTCTGGTAGGACGGTAGCAGTATGTGTGGGTGATACGGGGGCGTAGAATGGCAAGAGGGTAGGTGGGGGGGCGTGGCCAAACAGGGAGTTTCTGCGGCCATGTGGCATGTGACAGCAAAACGCTGCTGACTCCGGCTCCACCTTTGCCGTAATTGTGTCGCACATGACCCCTTTGGTCGGAGGATGGCACCCTTTTCGGAGATCGCAGAAGGACAATGAGTGGGTCTGAGTGCAATAACCACAATTTCAGATTGAGATGGAGCCCATCCTCAAGCCCACACCCATCCCATTAGATACCCTCCTGATTCCTCTGCTAGCCTAAGCGTAAGCTCATTACGTTTTGGCTTTGTTTTGGACTAATTAAATTTGAATGACTATTTTCACTTAAAAACTTTTTGCCCCAATGGTTGGGTTTTGCTTCTGCTCCTTCGTTTTGTTTTTGTTTTTGGCTTTATATTTTTGTTTTTGTGTGTTTGGCGGTGGCGCCAGGTTTTGTTCAAATGTTGCTGGGGTTGGCTGCTGGTTGGCTCTGAAACTCTTGAGTGAGCCATAAACAATGCGGCTGGCAGCCTGGCTAAAAACCCGACAAACGCACCCATTTCAGACCTCATGCTCCAACCCCGCCCCGTCTAAAAATGCCAAAGTGTCGCACGGGTGTCACACAAAATATTAGAAATGATACTTAACCACAGAATTGCAGAGCTTTCGCTTTTCGGATCGAGTGGGTGTGGGAGTTAATTGTTTGCGGGCCAACCGTTTTGGCCCCCTTTTTGGCCCCCTTTTCTCGCATCCGAAATGCCAAACTGTGAAATTAGCAGCCGGGCCAAATGGCAACCGGAAACGTGCCGCAAGCCGGATATAAGCAACACTGGGTGCACCGAAATCAAAAGGGGATGAATTCCACTCCATTCCATTTTATTCCATGGGGGGAAGTTGACAGCAGCAATAAGCCAAACCATGCTAAAAAAAATAGAACACAGAAAAAAACTCTTTTCAATTAAAATCAAAATTGTTCGCTTGGCTGACCTCAAATACATTTCATGATTTTATTAGCAGACCAATAGATGAATTCGCGTATTTAAAACTTAATGCAATCGCTTTCACATTTGCTTTCTGCCTTTTCATTTGCGGCCATAAATAGCCAGCGGGATAAAGGATATTAATGGATTTTGTTTCAGCCGGCTAGCCATACATTATCTATATGCTTAAATGCAGACCGAAATGGAAATGGAAATAAAAGGAAATTAATAATAAGGAATAAAGCCGCCGCCGACAAACGATGCATAAATAAATAATACCTACAAACGTGCGTCTCCGGAATCCCGTAAAACCCGGACTCCTGGAATCGTGGACTCATGGACGAATGGACTCCGGCAAGGGCGTGGCGGAAAATCAATAACAACAAAACATTATTCGTCTGACCAGCAAAAACGACAACTACAACTACAAAAGGCCACTTGATTGTGGTGCACAAAAATTTAATTGTGTTCAATTGAAATGAAATCAAATGAAATTTGCGTGCAATTGTGTCTGTTGTTCTAGTTACTGGTGCTTGGGACCGTAATGCCAATATCTGGATTTAGCCAAATTGTTGGTTCAATTATTGTGGGATTGACTCAAAAAATGTAATATAAAAAACAAAATACTTACTGTATATTAGGGTAACAAATATCTAAAAGATATTATTTTCAAACGAAATACAAGTTTTGACGATGTTTTTCGTTGAGTTTCTCCTAAATTAGTTGTTTTAACTAAAAATCCAATTGTTGTATCCAGCTAATAGCACAATCAACAATCCACATCACTTTCAAATAGAAAGGTCTACATTTTTTTTTTGAAAAAACTCGTGCAAAAATTAAAGGTATCAGATTTTAACGTCAATCGATCGGGAATTTAATTACGAACTCAACAGTTTAATTCGAACATCAACAGTTCAAAATGGACATTTTATTGGTTAGTTAAAAATCATAATTTTTTTTTTTAATTCTAAGTACTATTAAGTTTATATATTGCAATTTCAATTTATAATATTAAAACTTCGATTTACAACATATTTATAATGAATTTTGAGTAATCCTTCTCTAAGGGGTTTTCTCTCAGATTTTAATTTCCATTTTAGATTTTCGGAATTATAGACAGGATAATTATCAAATCGCAAATAATAAAGATTGATATAAGCTTTCACACATCCAAAATATCCCCTTGAAAATTCGCCGATTGCAATCATTTTGGATGAGTACTTCTATCTTTCAACGAGGCCATCCCAATCGAT